AGTCCTCCATAGCGGCTCTACAACCAGCGACGTATAGAGGCGATTTAACTAAGTCCTCCATAGCGGCTCTACTACCAGCGACGTATAGAGGCGATTAAACTAAGTCCTCCGTAGCAACTTTACTACCAGCGACGTAACAGAGGCCGATAGTCTTTGACATATGACATAGCATTAACTTAAAAATCATCAACATTTAATAGTTCTCATATGTAACTTAATAAGAATAGTAATAAAATTTTAATGATATCATAATTGTTTACGGCTTTTTAAACAACGTTCTGTAACGCCGAAATAATTACGTTACAAGAGAACGATTAATTGATAATTTCAAATGCAATGTGATAAAAGTGATATCTTTGTTAATGCGAGTAAATTTCCTAACAGTTGTTGTTGTATATTTGTTTTAAAAATGTAAAATGTTCAGTTGTTCATCAATGTCGTGAACTCAAGCCAGTACAGGCACAAAGAACAATTTACGTTGAATATTATCATCATAAATACTTTAATCTTTATAGTCTTATTTTGTTTTATTAAATGTGTACATAGTCAAGTGTCGGTTTCTTAAAATTCGTAAATGGTGGAATATAATGTAAGCGTCATGCTTGGTTTTAAAGTTTTTTGCTGCTCGCTTTATCGGCCGTAATACAATTAGTCAGTGTTGAATACTGTAGAATAAGAGAAAATAAGAATCCCTAAAGAAAGCCCAACACGGCAAAACTGAAAATGTTGCAGGCTCGGTTTGATTGAGCCTGTTCATGGACAGTACTGTCAAGTGCAAACTACCGTCCGCGCCCCCTAGCACCGGCTTAAGCAGAATTTAACATTTAACATGAACTGGTACAATTCCGCAGATGTGTTCATATGGCGGTTGTCATGGAACCTTCAATGTGACACGTAAGTGCCATTCCATGAAAAGCGGCATATGGTCCCCATGTAAAAAAATGTGTGTGCCGTAAACGAAAAAACAATGGGCGGAACTAAATAAAATGAAATTTTGAAAGGGGATCAGAGGTTATGAGGCCTGCATATCACAGATAAGACGTCAAAAGACAAATTTAAAAAAGCAGGCCAGATATCCTAAGGGTGATTCAACAGTATTCAAGTGAGGAATACTGGAACCACTTAACAAGAAAATAGCCGAATAGAAATAACTAAATTACCACAATCACAACAATAATGTCGTGCAGAACGATCTTTTAGGATCGGAAATATAACATCTGTGATTGAATGTACGGGGCGACTTTTTACAGCGTCCAACTTAAACTAAGTGCCAATTAGTACTTTTTTCGATATAATTCATTAATTTTCTATAGTTTGTATTTCTCTGAATAACAGGTTTCATTATCCACAAGGAAGGGAAATGTATGTGCTTCTTCCTTTCTTATTATAGAAACAAAAGTTCCTATAAACTTTTTTCCCTTTATAGAACTCAAAGCGGAAATGGGAAAATATTTTGAAGTCAGTGACTGTTAACATTTCAATAAAGTAATAATTTTAGGCATTTAGTTTTTAACACTGACAAAGTTTTGGTTATATATTAATTATTTCACATACCTTCAGCAACTTTTGACAGAATAATTATTCTTATCGCCAAAACTGCAACCAGAAATGAAATGAGCAGTAATTTAGCAATTCTGGTGAAGTGCTTTTCCACTAGGCAGAATAAGAAGCTTCTGTCATACAAAATGTAAATATATGGTATCCTGTTAATACTGCATAGGGTTTGAATAAGCTATAATGTATAACCTTGAAAGTTTTTGACAAGTTTATTTTAATCCCATTTTAAAGTGGTTGACATATGATTTACCAGACTACAGACACACAAAGTAATAATATATGATAATGATTGATGATCATCATACAATATAATCGTATTTTAAATTACAATACACAAACTTATTAGAAATGTTGCACTTTTAATTATGTCTCATAAATAAACTGCAACCTTTTATGTTAATATGTTGTTGCTTTTATGATCTGATGGATCGCTTCTTTTCAAAACAGCTTTACGATAACATGTATTTCAAATTTTCCGCCTACTATAGTTATATGTGTAAATGTACAAGATATTTTTGATAGTTTACTTACAAATATGCATGGGTATCAAATTGTTGGTAAATTTATAATTTATCAAGGGGATATGTCTGATTATTTAGACGGCGTAGATACCATCATATATAGGAATGTGGTTAATTTTAACAAACATTTTGTATGGCGTTTTGTATTGAATGATTTACTTTTGTAGCAGCACAGGGTAAATTTGTTGTAGTGTTTTATTATATTATTTTCTACTAATGAACCCCTAAATTTGCTTTAAAATGTTGAGCTAATTTGCCGTTCAGAGATTTAATTTATGCTTATCGTAGCCCTCTTGTTGTTATTATTATTATAATTTAATATATAAAATTATATTTATTTCCCTTTCTTGAAACAAATGTTTATCTTTTTTCTTAAAATATATAAAATAAACATTTATGACACGAAGCTTTCTCAATAAGATGAAGTTCTGGCTTAAAGGTCATAGTTATGTACAGTGTCAATTTATCTTTATGATTGATTTATTATGAAAATATCGTCGTATCTTAGCATATTTCCTTTAAATTTGAAAAATTATTTTATGTAAATTTGAGTATGTTATAAGAAATGCATTAATAATAATCATGGGTTAAAACAAACAAATTTGAAGAAATGATGCAGAGCTGTGTTGTTAAAAGTTTTCTAATGTCAAAGGTCAGAACAAATTTTTATTACAAAACAGGAAAAGGCAATACCTGATTTCCACCATAATTCATTATTACAAACTTATTGTATCATACAGGTTGGATGAAATTGGATAAAAATTATCAGAGCCTTATTTGTTTTATTTATTCATATTATTATTTATTTAATGTATTAAAATAGTGTAATTTGGGATTCATATAAGTTTCCAAACTTTTTAATACCTCTCATATTAGTCCACATTTGAGATAAAACCAGAGCTGCATCAGTACCAAGGGTGTAGTACTTAAGTACCAGTACCAGTACTTGGCAAATTATGCAGTACCATTACCAGTACCAGTACTAGATTTTAGCTCGGTACTGCAGTACCAGTACTTTTTTTGGTGAAGTAATTAAGTATCAGTACCATTACTTTTATATATTCATCAAAGTTTGAATAAATACAGTGTCAAACAAATAATTGCAAATATTATTCAGCAAAGAAATAAAATCATAATTTACTTTAAAGCTGCATACCTCCAGATGACCCAAAATATTTCAAGAAAATTAAACTTGGAAAAAAATTACTAAAACTTTGAGAAAAGTAAACAAATTAAAGATTCAAGTGATAATTTATATCTTATGTGCAATTATCATAAAACACTTAAAACTAAACTCTTTTAATGATAGGTTGCTTATGGAAATAATAGCAAGACGTTTCTTTTTTACATAATACACAAAAAATGTAGTTTCTAACAACCATGATTAAAATTAGGAAGTTTTTTCTCTGTATTTTATTAACAAATGTACGAATTTTATGATGCCTAGTTTTTAATTTTTCAAAATGTTTTAGACACTAAACCGTAATCCTAAGTCAGTCTAAATAAGCAAAGAATAAAACATTAATTTATTATAAAATTGGGAAAGCAGGCTTAGCTTATCATAACAGGAAAAATTTATCACAAACATTCACTTGAAACCATATATAGGATTAATTAATATTAGAATTTATATATTTATAAAATGTTAAATGAAATTATCCAAACACAGCATTTTGCTTTCTTTTCAAACAAATAATCTCTACAAACTGTTGTATAATCTTAACAAATTATATTTTTAAGTGTTTTTATACAAAAAGGGGATGTCAGGATTTCTTTTGTGTGAATTATAACCGCTAATAATGTTAAGATGTTTAAACAAAATTGATGTTTATGTATGTAACTTAGGTCAGTATGTTGCTCTCTCTTTACGTATGTTTTCTCATGGGTCTAAGATTTTCTGGTATTTAATTTGAAAATAGAATATCTAAAAAAGTTTATTTTTAAAGTCATGTATAAATTTCCTGACGAAAGGTCTTGTTGACTTAAAACGCCAGCAGTCATCACTAAGAATAAATTTCCTATTGTTATTTATTCGCAAGTGAAGAATACATTGAAAGAGTTCTACAAAGAGTTTAATTTGAAATAGTTATATCTCATTCGTAACTGAATTTTATATGTGCACTGGGAAAACTTACAGGAAATTATTATAGATTTTAACTTAGACATATAACAAATTTGCGCTTACGGTAGGCATTAAAACCCATTCAAACAAACAAAACGGAAAAGTGATTGGTTTATTTCGTTTTATTGTGGTATGTTAGTTTTGCAATACACATCTTCGTAGCATTTGTAAAAAAACACATATTTTACCTCTAACGATCGTATATAATATATATTTACGTGATCTAACATAACTACTAAGATAGAGCCTATTTAAACCTTCTGATGACAAAAGCTTGCGGTTTTATGTTCAAGCAAGCAAAGAATTAATAATGACGGATAAATACAGCTTGAACATATGCAAGGGGTTGTAGGCTCTGTACATTACCACTACAGCTCAAGAAGCCAATCGAACCGTTTATGACACGCTCACTTTTTTTATTCATATTATTTGATATGATATGAAATTGGTATGTCCACAATGGCGCATAGATTGTACTGAGTTTAGACAAGATCAGTACTTCAGAATTAAATACGAGTCATGTCATGGTCGATTGAAAGGTGTTTTGTAGACTGGGGATCCAAATGATATTGTGAATAATCTTATTCTCTACCTCTTCAAATGTGAATCTGGACTACCATTTACGAAATGAATGATCTCTCAAAGGAGATTGTTAGATCTATAGAATTGCTCTTGTACGTACACGCAATTCGCTGAAACTATGAAGGTCATGAAGCGCAGATTATAAAATTAATTTACGACTTTTGTCCTAGACAATAATAACTCAAAACATGTTTTGTCCTGACAATAATAACTCAACAAAATGTATTTTTTTATTTTCAAATTTAATATAATTGATGACTTTTATGCATGAAGGAAATACAGAGTGTAAAGAAGAGAAATAGAAAATACTAAATTGATAACAAATTGCTTATTTTATCTTGGTTCTTTGCTGACAATCTTGTTTTGGTAACACTGGTATTGGTCAATTGTTGTTTAGATGTCTTGTTGAAGTCCTTTAGTCCTAGTATTGAAACTGGTACATAAAATCAGGTAAAAATATAAATTAACATACTTTAACTAAATGGTTTACATCTTAAACGGAATAAGACATTGAAATAAATTTTTAAATCAAATTTTATTGTTTTTGTTAACAGTGCTATTTAACTCCAAAATAAGTGAGTTCTAGTTAATGTTTTTTAACGAATTTAAAATGACTTAATTAAATTTCCATGTTAATAATTATAAAGATAATAGACATTATGTATATTTATTGTATAAAAGTCTGTCATATTTGTTCATCAATGTGGTAAACTTTGCTTAAGATGGTAAACATTTCTAACTGTTAATATAATATCACGATTATATTATTGTTTGTCCTTATTTTGCCACTATTACCATTAAGTTAATAGTAAAAAGAAAAAAGGAAACTCACTGGCCACCTGCAACATCTGAGTCTTACAGGATATCCACCACATATCCCGCAGTAATAAGTACCAGGTCGGCAGTAACCGACATAACAGCTATTTTGAGCTGAAAAGATATCGATTCGTTTTTATTAATTACTAAGCTTTATTGTAATTAATACAAATAAAAGAACAGCATCAATACAGTTTATAACAAGGCAGTCTGAAGGATAGCTAAATCACAACAATGATCTTGATGTTGTGTCATGCATATCGTTAGCACATAGTCTCACGATGGTGATAATATGTGCCAAGTTATTTAAAATCTTCCATTCCTTAGAAGTAGCCACAACCTGGATGTTGTGTGCCCTGCAGATTGTGTCATGGTGGGGATCATTTGTGTAATTTTAAACCTTAAAACTATCAAGAAGTTATAGAGCAGACATGAAAATTAGATGTTTTTACATTGGACCTTTGAGTGTGACCCTGACGTTGAAGTTTGTGACTTGATTATTGTGCTCTACAATGGTGATCATTTCTGCAGTGTTATCTTTAAAACATTGCAAAGGTTTAAATGTTATAAGGCGGACATAAAATGTAGACTTTCTAACATTTGACCTTTAAGTGTGACCTTGATCTTGGAGGCAGCAACCCAATTATTGCGCTATGCACATTGTCTCATAATGAATCACTTGTGTCAAGTTATTAAAAAAACTTTTCAGTGCTTAAAATGATATGGAGCGAACACGAAATAAAGACTTTTTACACTTGACCATTAAGTGTGACCTTACCCTTGGGGTAGCAACCCCGTTATTGCGCTCTGTACATCGTCTCATTGATCACTTGTGCCAAATAATTTAAAAAATATTTCCAGCGGTTTAAAAGTTATGAAGCGGACACAAAAGTGTTACAGACGGACTGACAGACGGAGGCCATTGCCATAATCCCCTCTCCGTTACGCGGAAGATGTTTAAAAGTGCTATTCAAAGTCAGATATATTTCAATGGACAATTGTCCGGGTTCTTTTTAATGTTAAGAGCAATAACAACGAAAAAGGGACTGGCAAACGTATAAAAAAACTTTCTCTGTTTGCTATTACATGTAAACGGTCGTGATGCGGATTGGATACAGAAACGGTATGTAGTTGTAATTGTAGTTGTAATGAATCAGTAACATCACATTACGATTCAGTATTTTTCAACTTTTTTATTATAATTTATGAAGTTTGTTTAGTTTGCATTTAAATAAATTACAGCATTGCCATAACTGCAGTAAACGAAAATGAATGTTTTTCATTCCTTCCGTTTGTATATTAAAAATTGTATTAACAAAACTTCATCATATGAACTGTTTTGTCCATTTCAGAAAACACAACGGCCGCAGTAAAAAATTTTGAAGCTAGTGACTTTAAGCATCATGAAACGAATATTCAAGTCAATAACTGACATACACCGAGCATTTCTCAAAAAATCATTGACAATAAAAATAAAATTCTTAAATTCATTTACTTTTTTACAATGACATAGTTATGGCTATATATAAATCATTTCACATACCTTCAGCTATTTCCGGCAAAATTGACACCGCCAAAACTCCTACCAAAATATTAAAAGCAGTAATTTAGTCATTCCGGCAAAGTGCTTTTCAACAACGTAGAAATAGAAACCCCAAGATGATATGTATCAAAATTAGACCCATCAAGACTTATATACACTATACTTGGCTGATATTAATAATAATGTTTATCATTCATCTTTCAAAAATTTTCTACGAATCCTTTCTCTCCTAAAATTAGTAATGGATGATTTATCTGGCTACAGAGGTTTCAAACAATAATTAATGGCAATGATTTTTGAATATATAATTTATTATGCATAATTTAATAAATAGTTAACCATACAAAAACTTACTGTATATACATGCATATCAAATTTAAATATATACTTTAAACACAATTAAGATAATTATGAGGCACGACGAGAGAAAACCGCGGAACAAAAAAATGTGCACTAACGTCATATACACCTGTAAGCACGAGAATGTTTTTATCGTTTATAATTGAGGATTTTTTAAAGAAACATCGCATTCTTTGAAAATTAAAAAAAAATGTTTACAGTTCGAAATAACACCGACGTTGATATGCTTTGAAATGCAGACGAATAAATTAATCGGCAATATTCATCAGTGCATGTAACTTACGTTTCTAAATTAAATATTTCACCATTACCACGATTAAATGTTGAATTCTGCTTAAGCGTAGACGGTAAGATGCACTTTCCAGTACGATCCATGAACAGGTTGGCTGCAACATTTTCAATTTTGTTGTGTTGGGCATTCTTAAGACATTCTGTTTCTCTCAACTATTTTAGATGTCCAAGTCAATTGATCAAAAAGAAAGAAATACACTCTTTTTTTTCTTTAATCTTTTAAAGTTTATTGGTGATCTAATTTAAGATTTATTAAGGAATAATTAAATCAGTCAAATGTTTAATTATTGTCCTATTTAGCGACGCCAGTGCATGGCGTAGTCTCAAATCGAATGCCTTTTTATGCTGTTATTATTTACAGTTTATGTCATGTTGTGTTAATTAGTTGTTGTTCCAATCATTTGTATTTATTTTTTTAACTGAAAAACATTTGCATCGAGATATTCTTATGGGAATGACGGGCTCAGCTTAACAGCTAATACCTTATTTCCGCCTAATTGGTAACACTAAAAGCCAGACTCTGAATATTGTTGTGGTTAACATTGAATACATTGGTATTTTCATTTTTTCTTATCAATCTTAGATTTAGTTTATTATGTCTTCACTGTTTATTTATTTTTGTGTTATGCATTGTTTATTGTTGTGTTATGTATACTGTTAGGTTATTTTTTGGCCAGGAATGAATTTTTAAACACAACTTATGGAATGGCGCTAAAGTGTCGCATTGAAGGTTCCATGATAACCGCCGTTTGAACACATCTGAAGATGTTTCTTAATTCAAAAATTAACCATTTTCATGTTAAAATGTTGATATCTGCTTAAGCCTGTGTTACGGGCTTGGACGGTTGTTTGCACTTGATAGCTCCGTCCATGAACAGGCCCATGGGTCAATTTTAACAGGGTCAAAATTTAATGTCACACCGGATCTATCTGTGATGTTTATTTATAGAAGCTGGTTTAAAATGTCTGTAAATATTTGTTTGTCATGATATTTAAGGCAAGATTCTTTGCTGGACGTTGATTGTCGTAATTCGCGTAATTGCTGGATGACCCAAACATGAACCAGTCAATATACACTACTTTCATCTAGGATGAAACGCTGAGTTCAGGAAATCTTATTTTTGGTGTTGTTTAAAGGTTAATTGGAAGAAGTACCCCAGCGGGACAAAATTTTTGAAGTTATGAACAGGCTCAAATAAACCGAGCCTGCAACATTATCAATTTTGTCGTTTTGGGTGTTCTTAAGGGATACCGTTTTTAATTATTTTACAAATATTTTTTTAAACTGCTGACAAGAACGTTTTAATATGAATATAAGTGAAAGACATTTCATTTAATTTTGAAATTTGATTTAATTGTTATTGTCTATTTGTAAATATTCATCTTCATTAAAAGTTAAACTGTTCAGTGATGTTCTCATATTGTATATTTTCTGGTGGCACAGTTCATAAATTTTTGGTATTGTCATGATGTAGTTATTGAAGTTTTTGTGGGTTATCGGGGGTTTTATTATTAAATAACAATTTATGTATTTTTCGTTAATAATTTTTTATGAATTTAAAGGAACTACTAAGAGGAAATAAACTGATATTTATTTACCTTATTCTAAAAACTTGTAGTTACTCACTTTAGGCTAAACAATTAAAGTGACAAGTTATATGTCGTTTGCATTTAAACTCAAACCAGCAACACAACAAAAGAAGTCAATGCTCCAGAGTGTTGAGATTTGTATTTGTTTCATTGATGATATGTTAATTGCTTTATTACCAGATCTGTATTTTATTTATTATTATTTAGGCAAATATTTTACTTAAAATGATTTCTTTATTCTATGTGTATTACCAGGTTGGCGAATTTGCAAAACGTATTACTGTTAACTTTCTTTTTATTGATGATATGTCAGTTGCTTAATTACCATGTCTGTGTTTTTATTATTATTATTAATGCAATCATTTTACTTAACAGGCTGGCGTATTTGCAAAAAAATAATATTACTGTTACCTCTAATGAATTGCATGAATGAAAGATTGTTATTTCATAACCAATTAGATTAAATGGACAAATGTGATTTCCAATGTAATCCATATAAATGTACCTTTATGAACTAATATTACTTTAAGTTCAGGCTATATTTATTTAAGCTTTAATCTTTCTTATTCTCATCTTTAATGGTAGAAAGACAACACAGCAGCAAAACTTTACTAATGCTTTAACTCATCTTGTGTTTATTTAAACAAAAACCCTCAACAAAAAGTAAAAGCAATCTTTATCAAGAAGAGTAGTCTGCATCTCCTTTTTAGTGGAAAAATGAAATCGAATATTTGTAAACTTTACAATACAATATCAACTGTTTATCTAGATATTATTAACCCTTAACCTAATGTTAATGTATTTGTTCGAATTTAAGATTTGAAACGTTCCTTTGAAAATTAATGGATTCAAAGTAGAGCTAGCAACCGTATAGAACGTGGGAACGAGTGTGCATCAGGCTCGCATTGCTCTATACTTGCAAGCACGCAAAATATTTATATTGACGAATAAAATACAGCTTGGACATATGCAACTTATGCTTGAGGTTGTAGGCTCTGTACAGTTAACCACTACAGCTCAAGAAGATACCTGCACAGGTTTTGAAATTGCCAGTTTTCATTGACAAGGGATTTGCTTTGGTGTTAATGTTTAACCATTATTAATTATTCAATTGAATAAAGATGTTGTTGTTATGCCTTGCCTTGCCATGGTCGATTGAAAAACGTGTTGTATGATTGCAGATCGAATGCTTTTGTGCTCTGTGGGCAACTCCTCTCCTCTACCTGTTCAAATGTGAATCTGGTTATGTGGGCTTGCATTTACGAAGTATGTGCTCTCTCATAAAAGATGGTTAGATTAATAGAGTTGCTCTTGCACACAAATGTAAAATTGTTCAAATCGATGAAGACTAAAAAGTCGTGTAGATTTTTATCCTAGACAATAACAAAAAACAAATTGTATCATATTTATTACCAAATTTCATTTCATTTGTGTTTTTTATGTATGATAATGGTAAAACGTTAAGAAAAAATAAAGAAAGTTGTAGATTTAAAATGAATTGCTTATTTTATCTAGGTTCTTTGCTGACGCCTTTTTGTTGGTAACACTGGTATTGGTCAATTGTTGTTTAAGTGTCCTTTACGAAATCCGTTGGTACTAGTATGGGTACAGCTAAATAAATTCAAGTAAAACTATATGTTAACAAATTGTAGCTAAATTGAGTTTTATCTTAAACTGAATAAGAGTTTGAAATAAAGTATTAAATACAATTATAGAGTTTTTTAAACAAAACATTGCAACGGCTGAATAATTTAATTCAAGTAAATGTTTTTTTAAACGTGTTTTTATAACAAACTTGTATATCTATGTTAATGATTATTAATAGATTATAAATGCTTTGCATATTTATTGAATAAATGTCTGCCATGTTTGTTCATCAATGTTGATAACTTCTCTTAAACATGTGTATCATTTTGAAAAGTACTAACATTGTATCATCACGTAAATTGTATTTACTTTTTGAAAAGATTTATAAAAGACAGATTAACTCACCGGACAACATCTTCTTATTACAGGGTAACTGCTACAGTACCCGCAGAAACGAGTGCCACCTGGACAGTATCCGTAATAACAATCACCATATTGAGCTGAAGAGATAATGATTCGTTATGCTTCATTTCAAGCTAAGTTCCGGTAAATACAAAAAATATCAAATAAATTAAATAGAACATAATAAACTCAGATATATGATCAATTGTCCGTTTTATAGTAATTGTAGAGTAAATAGCGACAGCCAAGATCAGCGACAGACATCAGTATAAAGACCTTCACTGCTCGTCTGAAACTTTGACATCTTCGGACGTAAATATCGGCTAATGGCAAGCAGAAATACAGTAAGTTACCTTTAAGTACTATGTGGCACAGTAACACGAAACAGCTATTCAGTTTTTTATACCATAGTTTTATAATTTATGAAGTTTCTATAGTTTGCATTTCAATTCATCATTGGGGCCATTACCATTCAGTGAAGAAGAATTCATATTCTACATCCTTCCTTTTTGAAGAAACAAAATTCGTAACAACTCCTATACCTTTAATATATAGAACTCATAGCAAGTAAGAGACGTAGTGCCTTGGCGCATAATGAATGTTGCGGATATTGTAAACAAGAACTGATATACGCACAACCAATGCATCAAAATATCATTATCAATAAGAATATAATGTATGTACTTTTGTACACTAACATAATTACTTATTTTACGTACCTTCAGCAACTTCAGGCAGAATTGAAATCGCCAAAAACCCAACAAGAAATAACAGCAATAATAGTTTAGCCATTCTTACGAAATATTTCCAAATACGTAGAAAGTCCAAGGATGCTATGTGTCAATATTGAGTGTCTAAAGACTTATATATATATATATATACTGTACCTGTGTCATAATGTATATCCATGACCTTGCGAAATTTATCTTTGAATACATTTTTGTCGATTGGGTAATTGATGAGTTACCAGACCGCAGAGGTTAAAAGCAATAAGTAATAATAAATGACTGAAGATCATGCATATAATATATACGTATTTTGATAGATAGAATTATATTAAAAACTTCAAATTACTGCATATTGTAAATGTCAATAAAGCTGAATTCTACAAATTAAAATTTAAATTTGCTGAGTAACGTATCACAATTTCATCTGATCAATTGAACATAGCAGAAAACTGGAAATAGATAGATATATACCAAATTATGCAGATTGCTGTCTTTGATCCGCTTTTCTGACATACTAGCAATGTTCAAGAATGATGCTACATTTATTGCAACACAGAAAGAGCAAGGCATATTAATATTGATCCATGTAATTATTCCATTTGACCTGCAAGTGACAGAAATTTGGAAAATGGCAACCAAGTGACAAGGCATAATAAGAATGTATATTTACACAGAATATAAGAATATACTAGTACGTGCTTCATGCTACTTTTTATAAGTGTGCTGCCATAATGCTAGGGACCTTTTGTTTGCAACCTGGGATAAGATAGGGAATACCCATATTTGCCTAGTTCCTGAGTATTTCTATTACATGTACCAAAGAGTAAGTGTTCAATCTTAAAAAGAAACCTTAGCAGTGTGGATAAGCACTTACGGGATTCACAACAAAACGTTGCAATTGTTCATTACATGCGTTATAAGTTTTTTTTCTGGAAGGACTTGTTCCGAACTGGTACAACACTATTGGTCTGTGTTAAAAATAGATGTAAGGAAATTATGAGTGGACCAATTACGATCTCACGAGCTACTGAAAAACTTTTTAACCAAGTATTGACATCAAAGAAGAATTCAAAAATACCTTTTCAAAACTAGTTGTACATTGAAGACTTATTTATATTGTACAGTGCTTCTGTTAGCTACAATGTATTATCTTGAGATTTTTGAAAATGTTCTTTGAATCATGTTTTAAGTATATGATAAATAATAATTCAAACCGCAGAGGTTTAAGGCAATAATTAATTAAAAAGATTGCTTAGTGTCGCTAAATATAGAATCCGTATCTTGATACATAAATAACCATACAAAAACTTACTGTATATACAATGTTCCCGAATCTTAATTTGATAAATAAACTATAAATATATTAATGCTGAAAGAAATTAAATTGCAATTAAAATATAGGTGTGAAGATTAACATATGGTAATTTAATCAGTGTAACAAAAACGGCTTACTGGCAAAAACATATTTACACATAATTCCGATTTTCGATTGGTTGATTAAGCTGAAAAAAACTAGTTATAGTCAATAATACGAGTAACTGTCAACGCTACGTTTATAATCACTGCAAAAACAATGATTTTAGAAAATTGGTCAGTCGTATCATTCGATTTTACATAGACATTAAGAAGTGTAAGGAAAATAGTTATCAGAAATAAGATACTCATTCCTACAGGACTGATTTCTTTCCCCCTCTTCATCGAACTTTGCTTATGAGCAGTTAGGTTCTTTAAGAATCATCATACTAAGATAAATAATGACCAAATAATGATCTATATATTTCAGTGTTGTCAAAATACTTACCAGTACTTTCAGGATAATAGCGTAAAGACATGAGACAGAAAGTATCACACAATATGTTTTCGAAAATAAACACTGGCAGAAATATTTTCAGAAATGCTGATTACATGGATCAAGTGAAGTACTGAAATGTAAAACTATACAAAAGATAATATAGATATATTTACAGATCGATAGTTAAAGCAATCAGTAGCCCATTTGCAACGCTTTTCATGTTAAGCCATTTTGCAAAATAAAAAAGATTATTGTGGAAAAACGGCGTGATAGAGTGATCTGAAAATATGCACGTCAGTTGATTCAAAACCTCGGTCGAGTCCCTATAATACTGATATATGACTGAAGGCAACAGAGAAATTATCTTCTTATCAAGAATTAAATTTCAAAAGCCAACCAGTACATAATCATCCTTTTTTCACATAATTTGGTTGAAATCCCGTAAAAAATAAAGGTAGATTGATACAAAATAGAGGAAATATTTCATATGTATACAAATTTCAAAAGAAGCCATAATTTCACTATACATGATTCACTATAAATCAATTGTTCTGTAAAATTAATGTTGAGAAATAAAGGAGATGAATAACCAGGATGCCGTTTTATCAACAAAGACGGTCGTAACTGCGATCTTATCTTACGACCGATACTTACGACCGAGCTTACGATTTCCGCAATACCGTTTTATGAACACGGTCGTACGCCCTAAGTCGCAGCTTAGACCATTTTCGGTCGTACGACCGTATAAACAGTTACCATACAGTTGAAAGTACGTTTCCGGGTCACGTGATTTCCCCCGCACCTGTCAATGTAAACACGACTGCATAATAGATGCAAAGCATGGAGGACATTTAATACGTTTTGTTTCCAAATTAACTCAATAATGTACAAAAAAACACAATAAGTCTTTTTGAGTTAGAATGCTATTTCTTTTCTAATAGAAGATTTAAAAAAAATATTTTACATGGGATACATTGTATATTGATCTTTATTTAATAAAAAACGGTAAAAACAAAAAGGTACTTTCGCGAAGAAAAAAATATAGAGATGCATCAAAAAAGAGGACATAATATATATCCGTCTACAAAACGATGTCAAATTTTTTAAATGCCTTCTGCGTGTTAGACACATTACTTCTAAAAAATACTTTAGCATCTTTCTGATCATCCTTAAAAACGGCTAAGGATACTATTAAATATCACCAATGACTATGTAAATATATCCCTTACATCCCTTACCGCAGATCGGTAAGAATATTCTGAATAAAAGTCAAAGAATGTGATAGTTTTCATCATTATAATCTTTCAGCCGTACAGTATCTTGTAAAAGCAAAAGGCTTCCGAAGCATAGCTACTGTTTTAAGATTTTTTTTTTACTTGGAACAAAGTGATGTTGATCCCTTGAATACCCACCCCAAAAGGGTTCAACCTTCTTGGGCCATAATTTTGAAATTTAAGTTTACATGCCCAATTAAAATTAAAAAAAATTACAGGGTCAAGTAAAAATGAAACAAAAAACTAAAAAATCCTAAAAGTCTTTCTTAGCAGTTTCAGCTAAAACAATACTGGGCTCCTTCATATTTACTGGACAATCGATTTACCGGACAAAATCTATTTTTGCCGAGTAATTTATTTTTTGTTTCGATTAAAAAATCATCCGGTCTGAATCGTACACACTATTTCTATTTCAAAGAAAATAACAACAAAACCACTCTCGGGTAAATATTGTTGATTCAGTTTCTTATTTACTATCATGCCAGTAATTTCATGGCTAATTATCTGTTCTGCGCATACCAGAATATTGAGGCCCTTGATAAATTTCACTTTTAATTCTTCACACCGTTATCTCAGGAGACAATCGTGACAGATTTTAATGATTAAAAGTAATTTTAAATTTATTCCAATAGTATGTCGTTGTTGTCTTGTAAATTAAAAAATATATTAGGAAACGGGTTACGTCCAAGGGAGGAAACTCTACATGAAATGTAAATAAAAATAGATTTTATGGCTTTTTTAACATGCTACATGATGACCAAAAGGGAACTTTATAACAAAGAACAGAATTCCATTTGAATATCAAAATGTTTCATACTTTTAAGGATCATGAAGACGCAATACGTTAATTGAATTAATAGTGTTAATTTCAATTACACCCCAAATATTGGCCTCTTCGTAACAAGCATGGCTGCCTGGGTTCTTCAAAATATCTTAACCTTGACATAGTTTCGATGATGATTATTTAAAGATAAATTTAAATTCACGACTTCAAAAAATTTTAAAACAATGTCCGGTAAATTGAGCTGTTTACACGATTTTTTCTCTTATAATGCCCTACTTAAAAGACACATTATTTCGTTCAAATTTTTAATTTTATGTCCGATAAAGTAATGTTTACGTGTTATAAAAACCCAAAATTATTTTGGTAAAATTCCATCCTTTTTATAATTATTTTAAAAAAAATAACACTGAAAAAACATATTTTGTCCTCCTAGTATGTCTGGCTTATTTGTGAAGAAGGTATCTACAGAACAGAAAGTGTTAGAATGTTACAAAGTCATTTATTATTATTCCAGTATGACAATAAATAAATATAAGACAGTAAATTATGACATTGAAATGACATGCTACAAATTTTTCTAATTCATATTAATTCTTTATGATACCTGTTGAGAATTAATGTACATATCTACTAGAAAACAATCTTGAAACTACATAACAATATAAAAATAATCATTATGTTTTAACAGACACAGAGTACTATTCAGACAAGAGCAGTTAAGACAAAGATGATTATAAACTGAGGACATTAAAGATAAAATGCCACTTTCAGGGAATTCTGTAGAAAGTTTCACAGCTTTACAATTGTTTATTTTAATTATTGTCCTTTTTGTGTTATTTTCTTTGTGTTTTTAATATTCATCCCAAAATTTTTTAATGCATTCAAGTAACAATAAATCAATAAATATCAATATAAACACATATGTTACATTGATTTATCTCATGTTATTTTACTTTCAGATGAATTGTAACACATAAATCTTTGTTTTTGTAAAGTCACTTTAATCCAATTGAATACAGAGAAGAACATCATTTTGCTGTGTATTCCTTTCAAGTTTTGAACATGAATCAAACATTTCATAATGTTATTCAAGAGAATGATTCAGTAAAGTTATCACTTCAAGAAATATAGATATTTGATTTTGACATACATGAATAGCTATAGTTTTGACACTTAAGACAAGTGAATATACAGTCAGTACATACATGTACTATCCAAAGTATATATTCAGAAACAACTTAAAGACCTTAACCTATGTATATGTTTTCATTAATCATTAAAAGCATTCATATAAAGCTTCTTACATGCATTCAGGGTAATAATTGTAGATCACTGACTGTCCCTTTGTGACCATACTTAAGTGTTATTTTTATTCATGTGCATGTAGAAACAAAGTTATTATGGAATGTATTAAATTATACAGAATGTACCTTATTCAATATAAAGACCTTACAGATATTGGTAAATTAATGAAATGTTTAATAGTCTATATAGCTTTCTTCTTAACTATCCTTTGTTGGCCATATAACAAGGTTACAACACTTGGCCCCTGTAAGGGAGAGCTGTCCCTGGATATTGATTCCAATCATAGGAAAGTTTAGCTGTAAACCGTCTATCATTCAGCAGTAATCTGAAACATTACAGATAATAATCTGACTTAAAATCAAATAATGATACAATATTTTTTTACAAATTATCTCATATGAAATGTCATGAACAGATTAATATGAAAATGTATAATTCAAATGAAATCCTTATACACTAAATGTGAATAGTTTTTATTCAATAATTCTGTATGTCTTTGAAATATGTAAATTTGTCAGTCACAGTCATTGAGCTTTTAAAGAAGTTCTTACTGTTGATTTTTTTTTATATTCCTCTATAACTGTCAGTTCCCTGACAGTGTACATGTAAGGTCATTTTACTTTTATATTACTGTTTCTAAAATAAGTTTGTCACTACTGACCCTGGTGGTATACAGCCTCATCATTGTTAAAGTCCTCTTTTACAAACACATTGATCAGCAGATGCACCAAGTACTAACTATTCATGCTGCCTTATATCTGTAAGGAAAATCAGATAAAAATTCAGCTACAATTTCATAGACTCTATTATAGCATGTACATGTATAAACGAAAATTAAGTGATATCTGAAAAGATTTCTACTAGAATAATATCTACATAAACTTTAACAAACTTATGAGTTAATCTTATAATGATTCCCACATATCTAACTTTACTACAATATATAATATAATACAATAGTATTTGTTTAAATGTGGAAACAAGACACTTAACCTCTGAAGACACTACACACCCAAAAATCAGTAAGACACTTCACCCATCATCCCTGATTATTTCCAGAATAAATATTTCAACAACAAATAAACCTCTTGTTTGTTAAATTTCTTTTTTGGATTTTTTTAATAAAATGTTTAACTCCGGGCAATTGTCAATATTTTTAACACTGACAAGTTAACTTGCAACATGGAACTTTGATATATTACACCATTTTCTGAAACATTACATGAAAGACAATTTAAAGTATCAATGTGACATAAAAATAAAGAAAAATCTGCTATATAATTGTTGATAAAAGATATTGTGTGTGATTTTCAACATAACTATCAATGTACTGTCAATCTAGGACATACATGTATTTCCCAGTATCAATGTTAGAACAAATGAGGTGTGAAAGATATATCTCATATCTAAGATAGTAGATCACCCACTTTAAATGACAAAATAAGTTATTTTAAATAAATGCAAACTTATTTTTAAGTTTTATTGTGATAATTATATTTTAGAAAAAATATAATGTACTTAATTGATTATCATTAATATCATATAAATATATTAGGGGAAAGTAGTATCTCTATTTTGATTTGGTCCATACTTACTTATATAACAAGAAATGTGTTAAAACAATGAATATTTTAATCACCATAATTGATTGCATTTCACATGTTCCACCTTAATTTGTGTAAAGCACATAACAACACATAACCAAAAAGGGAGGTGTAGTGCTTTAATCAGATTTCATAGAAAGAGGGGTGAAGTGAACTCTAAAACTGTCTATATATCAAACTCACCTGTCTGCACAAGTTACTTGTCCTTTGTTTACAATCCTCTTTTCATGTCACTGTGATCCGCCAAATTGGATCTAAAGATGCTCATTTCGCATACATGTACATGCTTTACCAAACAACAGTGCTGCAGTTTCATTTGCATTCCCATTACAGCACTGTACTGTAGGTTAACTGAAGCATTTTGTTGCTAAATAAAATCTTTTAATTATGGATATATAACAGGCTTTCTCATTGGTCCTTGTTAGGTTAAAATTTCACGCTTGACAGTTTCCATAGTATTTGTATTAATACGCCTTTTCTTATAAATAGTCGTTTTTGGTGCTATTTTGGTTACAGTTTTGTTAGTCACGTTTGTTGATTGACGCTTTAGGAAAAATTTGAACTCCCTCCCACCCTTTTTTCTAATTTGTGTGTATTGTATGCTTGTATTTTGTTTGTTTCTTTTGCCATGTCCTTTGTTAATGAATGTCTTCCGCTTTATGTACATGTACATTTGTTGACTTTGTTTAAGCTTTCAATGTATACTGCTAAACGTATATGCAGGGGTTAATCATTTCTGTGTATAATGCTTGCCTTCATATATAATTGTATAGTCTTGTATTATATAGGTTGTATTGTCTTTTATATGTCTTTCTTTCTGGCGGATTCGTAGTATTCATATTAGTTATCTAGCTGTTAATGGTCACTGTTACTTAATCGATGAAGTAATGTTATTCATGATGTGACTATCTGTTATACCGTAATATAATTGTCGTAACTAGTATGAATTATTTAGGATAATAATTTTGTGTATTATTCATTTTATACCTTTGTGAATTAATAACGAGTCTTCCTGCTCTATTAAAACTGATTATTTCTTACTTCGAGTTTCTGGTTATGACATATTTATAATGTTGCCATGTTGATTTCACACTATTAACACTTGTCTTTCACCTAGATACTGTAGCAACTTCATTGAAATGTCTACAAAAGAACATACTTAACTAATAATACCAATCAAAGTGGTTTTATAGCTTGACAATTAACACAATTGTTATTGACAATTGTTAGATCTATGTTCTGTCCGAAATCTGCACTGTCCGAAATTTCCGTACTAAAATATTTCGAACAGAAAAGTAGGAAACTGTATAGAAAATTGTAAGAATCATTTGCTAATCTGGCTACAGATGTGACAGGAGTTATCTTAAACACACATATATATGTCGGTTGTACTAAAATGAAAGTAATATAACTAACCATAGCTTCTTCATGGAAATTATCCAGAGATTAAACAGGAAGTGATAGTTGCGTCCCTGGGATGTTTAAATAGAATCAGCACTGTACATAAACATGTACGCAAAAAAACCTACGTTAGATGAAAACTTCAATTGTTCAAATATTTGTGTCTGAAAGTTCCTATCGGGAATTATGCAAAAATGGCCGCCATTTTTAAGATCTTAAGCCTACTTACGACCGGTCTGATGCAGCCTTAAAGTTACGACGTGTATCTACGACGTCTTAGCTACGACCATGTTGATAAAACGCGACGTAGCCGTAAGATCGGTCGTACGACCAAATCTTAGCTAGGACCTGGCGTGCGACCGTTGATAAAACGACACCCAGAAGTGTAGTTTTCTTTTTTGTAAAAATGTTATTTTCTGTCAAGAATTATTCAATTATGAAACCTTGAATTTATGCCCAATGGCACTGAGTGTCAATAATTCTGCAAACAGAAATCAATTCACATTCCAGGAAAACACACCATGTTCCTCTGCTCATCACTTTTCTCTACTACCATGTATATTCTCCCACATTCACTTCGGGATGACTTCCCAACACTTTTCCGAAACCGCTTTAGCGAACTAATTGTTCATGGATTAAATAGTATATACCATCTGAAAGCTCCCCGCTTCCCGCCTTTCCTTACTCACTCATTTTCTTTGAAAATATCTTAAGTTACTTTTGATCTTATTTAATTATCTGATTGTATATTCTTTCATTTTTCGTTTGGCGTACTTAATCAGTAACGATTTTCATTTCGGACAGAAGAAAAAATTATGTATTTTCAGATTCCCCCTAAGAGGGCTCAACAATATTACCAAACATAATGTTATCTTGCAATGCCTGCGGCCGCATGTACAGTAAATCTTTGCTCAGTATCTTATTTCTCATTTCCATATCAATCACACGTGATGTAGCAAGTAACAATTATTAGTTTCTTTAGATTTCTGCTTTATCAGGCACGATATCTATTCTTTCGGGTGTTCTCTTATTTTCTTCTTTGATATAATTCCACATTTTAGATATATATGAATCAAGAAATGGAGTAGTTGACGGTATTGTTTAATCAACATCATCATTCATCGCGTTAAAAAGATCCTGGTTCCTGATTCTTTGATTGAATGGGCTATTGAATGCTGAATATGTTTTATAGTTTTAAGTTTGCTAAATATGGGAACCAAAAAGGTCGTTAAATAGGGCATATTTTCAAAATAACTAGTGTTGATCTGCTTTTAGATTTCAGATAAAGAGATTGAACCCTATGATATTTACATAAAAAATTGCAGATGACAACAATTCAGTTACAACAAGGGTAAAAATGGCAAAACGTTTTTAGTTTTCAAAACGGCTCATAATTACCAGGTCATTGTTTCTTGAAAATGATTTCCCATTTAATTTACCCTGTTTTAAAGCAGAACAGAACAGATGCTTCTTTTTAATATTTCAAATGACGCCATTAAAAATGCAATATTACGCCTCATATAAAACTGTATCTATAAGTGTTGCGAGACTACAGTTCGTTTTGTTCGCTTTTGTTTTGTTTTTTGTTTTTTACAAAAAATATCCAGTACTCAGGCATCTCATTAGTCAAACCCCATTCCCCTGACAAACGAAATACGGAAATTAAACAATCTTATCTGATGAAACTGTATTAGATAGTTTGTTTGTCTTGTTTGCTTGTTTTTGTTGTTGTTTTTATTCATTTTTTTTGGTTGATTGATTGATTGATTGGTTGTTTGTTGCTTTGTTGGTTGGTTGGTTGGTTGGTTGGTTGGTTGGTTGGTGGGTTGGTTTACGCTTTATAAAGAGTCTATATCACATGTTTTCAGTATTTCCTTGTACATTAAAATATCTTTTTCACAAACTGATAGCCTCAATTCTAGGCGCCTTTCTATGACATACGGACTATAATGTCAGTAGGCAAGGTCCTATAGGGCTAAAAGTCTCCCTAGTCATCATGGTCGATACATTTCCTATAGTCATTTATTCGCAAATGATAAACAATGAAATAGGGAGAGTTTGTTTTTTGGTGTGGTTTTAGTATTGTTTGTTGTTTTTGTGTGTGTGAATTTTGTTGTTGATGTGTGTGTGTGTGTGTGTGTGTGTGTGTGTGTGTGTGTGTGTGTGCGCGCGTGCGTGTGTGTGTTGTTGTTGTTTGTTGTTGTTGGGTTTATTGTGGTGGAGGTGGGGTATTGGGGATTTATGTTTATAATATAAATATATTTTTCATTAATAAATTTTAAATGAGTTTAAAAGGATTATTTATAGGAAATGAAGTAATATTTATCTGGCTTATTTTATAACTTGTACTTACTCACTTTAGGCTAAATAATTAAAGTGACAAGTAATATGTCGTTTGCATTTAAACTCAAACAAAGAACACAACGAAAGAAGTCAATGCTCTAGAGTGTGGACTTTTGTATTTCTTTTTATTGATGAAATGTCAGTTGCTTAATTACCATATCTCTGTTATAATTATCATTATTAATAAGCAATACTTTTACTTAAAAGGTTGGTGTATTTGCAAAAATAATATTTCTGTTACCTCTAATGAATTGCATTAATGAAAGATTTGTTATTTTATAACCAATCAAATTTCATGGAAGACATTTACATAAAATGTGATTGTTTGATGTAATAACTGTACTTGTTTCAATATTAACCAAGTTGAATGATAACACAATTTATATTCATTCTCGAGTTAAAACTTGGTACCATTAACTTAACGTTTCGTTAATAAAGATTATAGATGGTCAAATAAAAAGAGAAAAAGGAAATATGTCATCAGATAAAGATTCAACTAAGCGTTAGGGACAAATCAGTATGTGCTTTAAACACATTTATACGAATCGTCACTATTTTCTTAAATTTCAAAACGAAAATATTTCAATGTAATATAATAATAATAATATAATGTACCTTTATGATTTACCGTTACTTTAAGTTCAAGCTACATTAATTTTAATTAATAATCTTTCTTATTCTTATGTTTTATTACAGAAAGACAACACAGCATCAAAACTTTACTTATGCTTGAGCTCATCTTGTGTTTATTCAAACAAAATCCCTCAATAAGTGGTTAAAACAATCTTTATCAAGAAAGGAAGTCTGTATCTCTTTCTTTAATAGAAATATAAAATCAAATATTTGTAAACTTTACAATACATTATTTATTAACTTTTCAATATTGGGCAAGTTTTCACTTCAAACTTAAGGCTAATAAACAGTTCAGCACGACATTTTGAACATAAAACCAGGCCATTATGCAAACAGTACGGCCTTTATGAGAAAACTCGGATATTATGAGGTTTGAGAATTTGATTAGCTCTCCAGGTCGGCCATTATGAATCTGCTTTTTTTTCATTAAAAACGTCACCATTTTGAATTGCCGCAAGGTAGGTTTCTGAGACATTTTTAAAACAAGAATTTCATTTGCAATACCTCACAAAAACGTAATTTCGCATTGGTTACCCAGTACTTAACATTTTTAGGTTGTGTGTAGTAAATTTATAAAATTGTCAATAATTAAGTATTTTCAAAATGGTCTTGTTATTGGGCTTTAGATTGTAATATTAGCCTTCTGTCTTTGGCCTCAGGGTAATATGACAGTCTTCAGCCCAATAAGAAGGCCATTATGAAAGCACTTAATTATTAACATTAAAATAACAACTGTTTATCAAGATATTATTAACCCTTAACCTACTGTTAATGTATTTTTCCGAATTTAGTTTGAAGCGTCCATTTGTAAATTAATGGATTCAAAGTAGAGCTAGCAACTGTATAGAAAGTGCGCAGTCTTTACGAGCGTACAGGCTCGCCTTGCTCTATACTTGCATGCACACGTATAAATACAGCCTGAACATATGCAACTTAATGCTTGAGGACGTAGGCTCTGTACATTTTACCACTGCAGCTCAAGAAGAAATTATAACTGGTTTTGAAATGGCCAGTGTTTCATAAATATCTAAGATACTTGTATGGTACTGAATTCACAGCGGAGGTAAGCTTTGTTATTTCTTCTGTAAATTGAGCTTGAATCAGTATTCGATAGGTAAATAAGATAAGAGGTTGTTATGCCATACCATATCGTGGTCGATTTACAGTCGTGTTGTATGATTTGGGAGCGAATGCTATTGTGCAAAATGTTAATCTCTACGGGTTACTCCTCTACTCTACCTGTTCAAATGTGCATCTGGCTACGTGGACTTCCAGTCACGAAGTATGAGATCTCTCATAGTAGATCTTTGGTTTAATGGAGTTGTTCTTTCACACAAACATAATAGCTTTCAAATCGATGAAAAGGTCATATACTTTTTCATCCTAGACAATAACAATGTAACATAATGTATCACATTTATTATCAAATTTCATTTCATTTGTGTTTATATGTAAGATGAGGGGGAAACATAAAGAAAAAAACAGAAAGTTTCAAATGAATTGCTTATTTTATTTTTGGTAACGTAATCTTTGTTCTTTGCTGGTGCCTTTTTGTTGGTAGCACTGGTATTGGTCAATTGTTGTTTAAGTGTCCTTAACGAAATCCTTTAGTACTAGTATGCGTATGCGTATGGGTGTCCCTAAAATTATAAATTAACAAATTGTAGCTAAATTTGTTTTCATCTTAAACTGAATAAGACGTTGAAATAAAGTATTTAATACATTTAAAGAGTTTCTTTACAAAAACAAAACTGTAACGGCCGAATAATTGAATTCAATTAAATGCTTATTTATAAACGTGGTTTTAAATGATATACTTTAATATCTATGTTAATTATTGTATATAGATAATATAAGTGGAAAACTTCTGTTAAAGATATACTGTGCTCATCTTTGAGTAAAATATTTTCATTGAAGAAATTTATTGAAATCTATAAACTTCATATTGAATATGTCAAATTTAAAAAAAAGAACGTATAAACTATATATTAAAATCTGCATTCCTTATATAGGGCAAGTAATGATGATACTTTTAAATAGTTTGTCCACTTCTAGTTTTTAGTATGTGACGCATATCATATATACTTCATATGAAGTCAAAACATGTATATCTAATATTTACAAAAAGACTATGTAGCAATTATCAAAAATGTTCTAATATCATATTTGAGCATAGTATAAGTAGGATTATATTTATAAAAAGAACTAACATCGTTTCACTATGGTAATATTATTGGTGATTGTCTTAAAATTGCATTTTTTTATTTACTTTTTTTTGAAACGCGAATTAAAGAAAGAGAAACAAAACTCACTCCTCCGCCGCTGCAACATCTGTAAAGCCGGTAGGGGTATCTTCTACAGTACCCACAGGCACGAGTGCCATATGGACAGAAGGGATAACACCCATATTGAGCTGAATAGATAAAGATTTGTATTGCTTCGTATATAAGCTAAGATTACGTAAATGCAAATAAAATAACAGCATCATTACAGTATCTATATAGCACCTCAGGTGCCCTTCTGTGCATTATTTCATGCATGAACGGGCACCTGATTTGAAGCACCGACTTTCTGTAAACTAGCTGGATAGCTCCCTCACATGAAATAATCCCAAGTCCCTTTCGGCATTCGAACCAAAGCGGTGAGGGGCAAGTGGTTAGATTTTAAGTAAGCGTACTTGACCACTCGGTCACGGACGCCCCTGTATTTAGTTAGAACATATAAAATCAGATAAATTGACAAATGTCCATTTTAAAGATATTGTGGTGTAAATTGCAACAACCAAGATTAGCGACAGCTTTAGGTATGTAAACTCTCACTGCTCGTCTTTAAACGTGACAGGCCTTAATGTAATTATAAACATCTTCAGTTGAAATTATCGCATACTGGAGAACAGAAACAAATAAATACTCATCAACCTGACAATACCATGTATCATCGAAACAGGACTTTGCGATTCAATATTTTATATGCTTCTATCAATATATACATTTTTATGAAGTTTTTATTACTGTACATTTCAATGAATTACATTTTTTATTATGTTATAATTCTTCAGTAATGAAAAGTGTATGTTCTTTTCATTCCTTTCTTATTGTAGAACCAAAAGTTCATATAAACTATTTAGCTGCTCTTTTTAACTCAAAGCGGAAATGGTGAAATCTTAGCTAGTGTCTTTAAGCATTGTGCAACGGACATTCCAAACAAAACTAATTGAATCAGCAATTGTTTGAAATATTTTTAAAAATAAGAATATAATGTATTTACTTTTGTATACAAATATTCTGTTTTGGTTTTAAATAAATTATTTTACATACCTTCGGCAAATTCAGGCAGAATTGTTATCGCCAAAAATCCCACTAGCAATAACAGCATCAATAGCTTAGCCATTCCGTTGAAGTACTTGTAACAACGTAGAATAACAAAATTCTGGGATGTTATGTGTGAATATCATAAGTCCCTTCAGACTATATATATATACTGTACCTATGTCATTATGTGCGTGTATATCCTTCACCTTTGAAATATTTTTATCAGATTTCTGATTGATGATTTATCAGACCACAAAGGTTTAAAGGAATTAGTAATTATTAATGATTGAAGAGCATGCATAGAATATATTTGTATTTTAATAAATATTTAATCACATCAAAACTTCAATTTAAAGTAATTAAGCTTATGTTTTGTAAATATGCCTGGTCACATGGTTGCCGTTTTTTTTAACTTCTATCAAAGTTGTAACTTCACCCCGGGACTAGATAGGAAATACCCATATTTTCCTGAGTAGTTCTTATACCCTAGCGGAAGCTTTCAGCCATAAGAAGAAACTTTAGCACAGTAGATAAGGCATGTTCAGTATTCACAACCAATCATTGCAATTGTTCATTACAAGCATTATAAGCTTTTTTATGGAAGGACTTGATTCGAACAGGCAAAACACTTCTTATCTGCTGGTGTTAGCTCATTTCATACCCTCGAAGTACTCCCCGTGGCTAGAAATGCAAAGTTTCAGCCGATGTATCCACTTCTTGAAGGCGTCACGGTACGCTGATTTGGGCACAGTAATAAGGTACTGATGAATGGCAGATCCAAGTGCCTGTCGGGACTTGTATTTCCGTCCAGCAAGGGAGGATTTCAATTTCGGAAACAAAAGGAAATCACATGGGGCAAGGTATGGAGAATACGGGGGTGAGGCAAAAAAGTTTTTCAAAAACGCCGAAACTATTGCGGAGGTATGAGCGGGGGCATTGTCATGTAGAAGACGGATATGCTTAAAAACAGTGACAGGGCGTCGTTTCTTATAATACTTTTTCAGTTTCTTAAGTACTACGTCTTTGTAGTACTTCCCAGTGATATTTTTGCCCTTTTTCACCGGCACATTTATTGCGACTCCTTCACCAGAGAAGAAAATTGCTTACAAAACCTTCTTTGCACTCACAGACCGTTTGGCAATTATTGGGCGTTTGTTGTGTTTAGTGGCCCAGAGTTTGTTGCTAACTTTTCTGACGGGCTCAAAATAATGAACCCAAGTTTCATCACCTGTGACGACATTAGCAAACTGTTTTTTGTCATATTTTTGGAAACATTTGAAGCAGCTTTTTGGTCACCTTAACCCGTTGCCTCTTTTGCTCATCGGTCAACAGATGTGGCACCCATCTAGCAAAAAACGTTCTGACTTTCAAATGCTTCTTCAAAATAAAGTGAACCGTTGATAGTGATATGCCTACCTTTCGTGCAATATCAAGAACTGTAAATCTGGCATCTCCATCAATGATATCCTTTATTTGGAAACGGTTTCGTTACAAGATGCAAATTTTAGCCTACCTGATTTTGGTGCATTTTTATGCACTCTACACCAGACTCAAATTTCTTTTTCCGTCGCCTAACTGTGTCATAAGACACACAAGTAGGCCCATAATCAGTAATGAGTTCAGTCATCAACTGCTTCAAAGAGCAACCAAGTTTTGAACGAGCTTTGATGTAAGCCCGTATTTCATCTTTTTGTCGACGCTTCTACCAACCATTTTTACTACAGTAGTCAATGACAGCGTGTATTTAAATGGCAAATTGTATGTCTTACACTTAGTCTTACATGTACATTTATACACCGTTGTGTAGGTATTGAATACCCTAAACAGGTATTTATTGGTTCTTATCGTGTCCCACGTGGATAACGAGATATCTAGAGGACAATAAGCATTTCTTTTCGAATAGCCCTCGTAAAATATATGTGAGAAAATTATGAGTGGACCCATTACGATCTCAGTAGCTACTGAATATACTGGCTCGGTCTAAGACCATTGCGCTAAAATTATCTTTTCTATATTTATTGCTGATTGTTGACCGTTCATGTTATGGACATTGTCGGAGACCTATCAAAGATTTGTGTATCCAGTTCACTGACAGTTTGATCGGTATGCAACTAACAGGTTAATAAAATTGGACAAAGCATAATTATATTAAGGTTAAAAAAGCAATGCCATTATTCTGACATGTATATTTATATTAATATTTGCATAATTTGGGCATGTTATTATTGAAACAAACGCTTTTTAACGACACGCACTCATATTTAGAACTCAGAACTAAATGTGATTTTTCTCGGTAGAAAAGATAAAACTTTTCTCTTAAAATGATTTTGAAATGAATTTAAAAAATGTTCAGAAGAGAAAACGTTATACGAGTTTGTGATAAAATAATATGTGTCATTAAATATTAAAAAATTAGGTACAAAATACATATCCATACAAAATAAGTCACTGAAAAGCAGAATATAGTTTAGAAATATGGACTGTTTTCGAAACTATTATTGGATATCAAAATGATATGAAAATGATAACATTTTAGGGATAAATGGGTCCTTAAATATTAACCTTGGTTAATAATGTTTTAAGAAATCTGTGATGTCAGACAGAAACAAGGAAAGTGAATTAATTATCTATTTACACTTAATCACACAATGTACATGTATGTGCAGCTATAAATATATATACTTATTTTTATGTTGTCTAATTTCTGTAACACACATTATAATAGTATCCTTATTCAGAGCAAGCAGTGTTGTTTTGAGAAAACGCTAAACTCAGAGATTAATAAATTAATTGTTTCTTCTTTACAAGGAAAAATATGTGTTTTTTACACTAAGCGGTTTTGATGTTTATCACCGAATGAATATAGTGCTAAATATGAAATATCTGGTCTTAAAAGTAGCGAAATGTAAAGCAAAAGGAATTTTGAATTTCATACAAAGTGCTTTGTCACTACAACTGTACTAAATTCAATAATGCAAAGACAGCGAAAGACGGTTCAGCTGTATTATCAGTGAGTATTGGGAGTAGAGTAATTATTTAGAAACAGGGAGTAGTTATTTAGAAACAGGGAGTTATTATTTAGAAACAGGGAGTAATTATTTAGAAGCAGGGAGTAATTATTTAGAAACAGGGAGTAATAATTTAGAAATAGGGAGTAATTATTTAGAAACAGAGAACATCGGGATGGAACAAAAAAGGAATGTGTTAGAGAAATTAAAGTAATATCGTTTTGAGGCAAATGAGATTTTATGCTGTTTAAACTGTTTTGATATTTTCACATATTTATCAATACTCTACTCGTTATAAGGAGCTACAGGATAAATACACAATTGTTGTAAAGTATGTTGTGTTGTTTTGTTTTGTTTTGTTTTTTTTTTGTTTTTTTGATTTTTTTTTGTTTTTTTTTTTTTGTTTTTTTTTTTTTTTTGTTTTTTTTTTTTTTTTTTTGTTTTTTTTTTTTTTAAATAGCGTTCTAAATTGATAAGTGTTTGAAAGTTTGAAAAAAAAACCAACTAAGATTGCCATATTCTAAATGAATTGAAATAAGTTACTAAACCGGCTACCTACATATTAAGTAGACTAATTAATAGACTGTTTCTAAAAGAAAAAAAGTACTTTCAAATACGTCGTTCTTGGCCAATTTAATTTTAAAAATACTAACTTATGTACACTAATATTAAAAACAAGTCTTAAATTTCTTAAATCTGGTTGTTCACGAGAAGCTATGTGTTTCTATAAAATAATTGGCATGTATTAATATGCATGACACGAAACTTTCTAAATAAGATTATGAAGTGAAGGTCTTAATTTACTACAATATCTATTTATCATTATAAAATGAATTTATTTTATAAACATTGTGGTTTCTTCAAGGGCATATTTCCTTTTAATATGCGAATTAATTTATTGTAAGGATATGTTTTATGTAATTAGTTTTGAATTTAAACTAATATAATGAAGAAAATGTATGGTTAATATTTTTGTCGCATTCATCATCTAGAAAAGATATAATTTTATGGTATAGTCTAAAATATTTTTTGTTTCAAAACAAGTAACGGAATACATTGTGGTTAACGGTTTAACGTAATTACTAATTTGCGTCATAATACATTATTTTTTTATCATTTATTGTACAAAACATGGATAAAAACGGATATTAAATCATGCATTTGGTTAAAAGTGTTAATATTTATAAGATAGATATATAAATTATAGTAAACATAATGGATTTTTTTCAAGACATATCTATGATTGGTCTGCCCTTAGATTTGAGATAAAACACATAAAATCTGTTCAGTCTTATTCATTTATTTATCTATTTATTTATTTATCTATTTATTTATTCATCCATCCATCCATTCATTCATTCATTCATTCATTCATTCATTCATTCATCTATTTATTCATTTATTCATTCATTCATTCATTTATTCATTTATTTATTATTCTAACATTTTTTTTCCTAGTATTTTATTTCATGTTTATTTTTATTTTTTTAGATAAGGACACCAAATATGCTATGCTATGCTTATTGTAGCTTTTAAATGAAATCAAAAAAGTAAAGTAGCAAGAAGTATATATTTTGAAGAGAATAAAATGATCCGAAGCTAAGCTGTTTGAACCTGAGGCCCGATGTTGTACAAAGGCATCAAATTGCACTCGATATTTTACCGAAAAGAAATGGCTAGTTTTTTTATTATTCAATTTCATCGATCAACCAGCAGTGCACAAGAATCGTTATTCCATACAATGTCAAGTCACGTGATAAGGCGGAGTAAAAGAGCGGGAAAAAGACGTATCACAAACAACATATATTACGACAAACAAATGTTAAATCTCCTCAAGGAGGGAGATGGTAGGGCAGATAGAGGAAAAGCGGGAAATATTCAAATGCAAATTCACAAGGTAAGATATTTTATCAAGATAATAGGCGACCATTTAATACAAAATATAATACTACAAACAAAAGAATAGAAACATAGAGTGACACCGCTTAATATTAAAATATTTCGCATGAACATTTCATTTTTATATAAAAAAATACAATTGATAATAAGCTCACATGGCTTTAGATTTTAATAAAATAATCATACATTTTAAGTTTTATTATGTAAACTGGTTTATAAAAACATAAGTTTTGTAACTAGTACTT